TAACTGGCAGTTTTACCAAAACCTTTGAAGATTCAAACACAATCCAGAACGTTAAAAAACAGACTGTTAAGGTAACAGGATGGCTCCAAGGAAAATGACCCCACAGATAATCATCATCCCAGATACTCAGGGCCCATTTTAGCTTCCTCTACCACCCTAGACCAATTCCAGTAAGAATAATGTTCCTGCAATAGCAAGTACTGCAATCAGAAACCTTACACTCAGCAGCTCTTTTAGGCACCCTAAAACAAACATAACAGAAAAGTACTGATGAATGCTACAACATGGATGAACCTTGAAAACATGCTAAATAAAACCACAATTTTATGATTCCCTATGTTGTCAGAACAACTCAATGTCAGTCTGCTTAGAATAAAGCTAGTCAATGTGATGAAGACAAAGAGTGATACTCCACAGGCAATGAAGTGCTAGGATTTTAAGTTTCAAAAGTTCTGGAACTTAGAAGAAAATTCCAGATGGCTAGTAACAAAAAGATCCAATTTTATCTTTAACAATAACAGCAAATAAGAAAATGTAAGGGAAAAATAAAACTACAATTTTGACTTCATTAACAAAAAAATTTCTTTCTAGATCATGACCACGATATCTCATACACTTAAAAAAAAAAAAAATCTTCACCTGAGGATATGTTTTTTCATTGGTTCTAGAGAGAGGAAGAGGTAAAGAGAGAAATATTTATCAGTTGTCTCCCATACATGCCCTGCAACCTGGGTATGTGCCCTGACTAGGAATCGAACCCGTGACCCTTTGGTGCACAGGATGACACCCTAACTACTGAGTTACACCAGCCAGGGCTCATATAGTATTTTTAAAACAAGAGGCAAGCATATGCACTTTTAAAATGTCAATGAGAACTGTCTTGGTATGCCTCCTAAGCCCAAAATGTTTCATAAAGCTGTATTAATACTAGAGGCCTGGTGCATAAAATTGGTGCACTAGGGGATGGTGGTGGTGGTGGTGGTGGGGTTCCCTTAGCCTGGCCTGCACCCTCTCACAGTCAGACACCCCTCTCGCAATACGGGTAGGCCCGATCCCAGCCTGGCCTGCAGGGATTGGGCATAAGCCACAGTCGGACATCTCCTGAGGGACATAGCAGTGCACCAAGCGGTAGGTGGCCAGGGAGGAGCCCGAACTGGGGCTGGGCAACGTGCCGCTGCCGCAGGTGCCCTCGGCAGCTGTGAGCATGGCTTCTGGCTGAGCGGAGCTTTCCTCTGTGGGAGTGCACTGACCATCATGGGGCAACTCCTGTGTTGAGCACCTGCCCCCTGGTGGTCAGTGTGCGTAATAGCAACTGGTTGTTCCGTTGTAATGGTTGCTTAGGTGTTTATATGTATAGATAAGCAGAGACATTTTGCTCTTCTTTACAGACAAAAATGTACTACTTTCACAAATATATTCAATGTTTTAAAAAACAATACAGTCAATCCACAGAATGGGAGCAAAAATTTACAAATTCTATATGTATCTGATAAAAGACTTGTATAGAACTTTCAAATTAGTAATAAAAGAAATTTAAAAATGGCCAAAAGATCTGAATGTTTATTTAAAGAAGATATGTTAAGTGGGCAAAAAGCACATGAAAAGATACTCAACATCAATGCCATTAGGGAATGCAAGTCAAAACCATGAGATACCACTTCACACCCACCAGGATGGCTATGATACGAAGACAAATTGTAAGAAGCATTGGTGGTGGTAATGTAAATCTGTGGAGAAACTGTAACCTTCCTACACTGCTAGTGGGAATGCACATGGTACAGCTGCTTTGGAAAGCAGTCTGGTAGTTCCTTAATTGGTTAAATAGCAGTTGCACACTAGGTATATATCAAGACAAATAAAAAAACTTGTACATGAATGTTCACAGCAGCACTATTCATAATAGCTCCACAAGTAGAATGAATCCCAATGTTTATCAATTGATGAATGTACAAAATATGGTATAACCATGCAATAAAGTGTAATTTGGCACCAAAAAAACCCCCGAAACAAAACAAAAGGCATAATAAAAATGCTTTACTTTCAAGTGATGCATGCTACAACATGGATGAACCTTGAAAACATGCTAAGTAAAAAAACCACATATTTTATAATTCTATTTACAGTAAAATGTCCAGAATAGAAAATTTATAGAGAGAAAGTAGATTAGTTATTGCCGAGGTCTGGGGGAGGATTGGAGGGGAGATAAAGAAAGACTACTAATGGACACAGGTTTATTTTGGGGGTTATGAAAATATTCTGCATTTCACTGCATTGCTTAGTTACGCTTTAAATGAGAAAACTTTGTATGGTATATGAAGTATGTCTCAAAATATGATTTAAAAATCATTTTGAGCTACAAAGTACTACAAATCTAATGATGAAGCAAATAATTTTATTCTTATCTAATCCTTCTGAAGTATAATTCCTCTCTTAAAATAGCTAGTATAAATTAAGTTGCCTAAACCAGCTCATTCTTCTCTGTCCAAACAAAAATCCATACTTCTTGCCTCTTCTACAAGTCTATTCAATATGACTGCAGTGCTATCTGAACAAAGGCACAAGCTCATGTCCATTCAGGAGGAGGCCAGACCTGTGCAATCTGGACCTCAAGCTCTCAGCTGCCTAGAAATACCCTGAAATCCTGAGTAGCCTTAAAAGCAGCAATTTCAGGTTATCAAAACATAATGTAAGTTTAATCTTTCTCAATTTCAAACCTCCTTCATTACTGAATTAAAGATCCAAATTATGAGAAATGCTTTGCTTTCAACAATCATTAGTAAAACATAATTTGAAAAGTTTCCTGTGTAAAGAAAATGGGTTAAGGATTTAAGAATGGCTTTCAAATCAATTCTCTAGAAACTGCCCAGAATAATATTTCATAAAAACAAATCTGATCATGTTACTCCTTGATTAAAATCTTACTATGGCTCTATACTGTTTTTAGGGTAAAATTCCAATTTCTTGGCAGGGCATAGAAGGCCAACCCTAAACTTTGCTTACTTTCCAACTTCCTTTCTCACTCTCCTCCAGATAACTAGGCTGACTTTTCCTGCCTCTGCTAGGACTCCTGCAACATGCAGTTCTCTTCACCTATGACCTTTGGGTCAAAGTGGAATATTCCTCCAAGGGTCCACTTTGCATATAATGATACCTGTCTATCTCACAGCTCATTTGCACACTGCCCATGTCTTACCCCAACATACCCTAAGAACTCAAAACACCAGGACTGCACCTTTTTATGCTTAAAGAAAAGGGGGGGAGGGAGTACTAATCATGTCTTTATCTCCATCACCTATTATAATTCCTAGCAAAAACATTAAAAACATTAAACAAATGGTTATTAAATGAATAAACTGAGCAGGGACATTTTAGTTGGGTAGAATTCTAACAAGCAGAAAAAGGAGGCAAAGGAAAGGGAAGAGTTACAGATGACCCTAAGGTTTTGGGCCTGGAGTATCTTGAAGAACTATGCGCCCTTAGCAGAAAGGAGAGATTTGAGGAAGACCTGCTATACGGGGAAATGAAGGAGCTTGGTTTTAGAAATATTTCATGTGTGACATATTGGCCCCCCAAAAGTGATTTCATTTTCCCCCCCAAAACGACTTAATAATGTATGATACAATAAACTGTTAACTATCTATCTCAATCAGGTAGAAAATGGGTAAAGAAAAGGAAAAGCAATCCAAAATTTATTTAATAATTTGACTGCTTTTCATCTTTGATATGCTAGTATTTTGAGTTTTAACTCTGGGTACAGTGCACAAACTGAATAGTTGTGCCTAAACCAGCCGTGGGCAAACTACGGCCCGCGGACCAGATCCAGCCCGTTTGAAATGAATAAAACTATTGAAAAAAAAGACCGTACCCTTTTATGTAATGATGTTTACTTTGAATTTATATTAGTTCACACAAACACTCCATCCATGCTTTTGTTCTGGCCCTCAGGTCGAGTTTAAGAACCCATTGTGGCCCTCGAGTCAAAAAGTTTGCCCACCCCTGGCCTAAACCATCACATGTTATACTACCTACTATCTAGAATACCTGCTTAGATCCATCCCTAACACTAGTTTTAATCTTCATTCACTATTAAAACTATATACTTTCCTGATTTTCAAAAATACTGTATTCCTAGACCATAACATTTGCTTCTTCTAACACTTAGAAAAACTAGCAGCATACACCATTGTAGATAGTTAAGTACTCTTTTATAAAAAGCTATTTGTTCTGGCTGAGTTTAATAATAAAACATAAAATATATAATAGTATTTCAAAACTAATGGTTTAGAAGGTACACATTTAGTATACATTTAATGGTTGCAATATTTTCAAGCAAGATTTGGGCATTAATGGTATATCCAGTGCTGTTTTGGACCCTACAAGGAATACTAAAACCACTGATAAACAGGATGAGAATGAAAAAAAATTAATTTTTAGAAGTTCATTTTAGGTAGGTTTTAAGAAACCCTTTTCAAGATTTCTATAGCTTTCTCTTTCTTTTTTGTACCCATGAAGAGAAAATTGAAGCCCAGTCAAGAAAATTGGACCTCTATTAACCTTGTTTTGTTCCAGAAGAAATAAAGTGAAAGTTCCAAAGGTAATGGTCTGAGCATAATATAATGAAGTCTAACAAAAGTTACTGCCCTAGGATTTTTGCTAAATTTCCCTAGGCAGTGAAACTTTAATAATTGTCGGAAAGCTTTGAACATTACAGTATAAAAATTTTAAAAGAAAGCAAAGGAATTCTAACGTAGACCTCCTTTTTGTCTTAATAGTGCATTGATGCCTAAATTACCACTGTGATACTGTGAAAATACCATATGTATCTAACTTTTCTATTAATGGCACCTCAAATCATAGGCCCCATCATGAGTATTATTGTCTACTGGACTCAGTGCAAAATAAATAGTTGATTGTAGAATCAGAAAAATGTCAGTCTTGTACAAAGATAAAATTAAATCTAAAGTTTTAAAAATTTTTTTATCTTTCTGCATTTTTGTTACCTCTTCTTTTAGTGCATGTTTCCTCTGTTCCAAACAGATCTCTTTAGCTCGCATCATCTGCAGCGTCTCCTTAGAAACTGCATACTGGAGTTTCTCCATACGTTCAGCGGCTGCTGCCCAAGATGCTTTACCAAATTTCTTTTGATCTGCTCGCATTCGATCGTACACAGCTATTAATGACAATTTTTTAAGACATTAAGATATAAAACAACTTGATACTAAAGAATTTGAAAGACATACTCAAAGAAAAACACCCAAATCCTACCCCCATGATAATTTACTTATAATGGCTCTAAAATATTATTCAACAGTATCTTAGATTCTAATGTCTTCAATAAAAATTTTAAATAATCTTCCTCAAAAATAACTTTATGAAAATGAAACTAAGTTGTCAGATTAACTTTAAAAATGCTTTCACATGTCCAGTGTCATTACTTTCAAAGTCTATATAAACTTTATTCTGTGATGGTTTATACATTTTTCCTGGTAATCTTAGTTGAAATATTCAAGATTATTTAAAATTATGTAAGTCCCACTAAAATTCACTTCTGTGGATGACCTTTTTTCCTGTGACCTTGAGAAAGTAACTTGTTAGTTCCAAGAGTTTAGAAAATAGATTCCACATAATTCTCTACATAAACAATGTTATCATCTGTGAATAGGAAGGACTATTATATTTCTTCCTTTCCAAACTATATACATTTTATTTCTTTTTCTCACCTTATCACAAACAGCTAAGATTTACTATATTACATTCAATAGCAATGGCAAGCATGAACATTTCCTGACTTTTTACCTAGTTTATGGGGTAGTCTTTTTACCATTAATTGAGAGGATGTCTTTAGGGTTTTTGTAGATGCACTTTATTGATTTAAGGAAATTCCTTCCTGTTCCTAGTTTGCTGAGCTTTTTTAGCACATGCGATGTTATATTTTGCTGAATGCTTTTCCAACATCTACTGATCATGCTTTTTTTTAAAATTAAGACTAGAATTTCTCAACACCAGCACTTTTGACATTATAAGCCAGAAAATTCTTAGCCATTACGGTGGGCTGTCCTGTGCAACATAGAATGTCAAACACAATCTCTGGCCTCTGATGGCTAGATGATAGTAATATGCTATGCTGGTGTGAAAACCAAATATGTCTCCAGACACTGCTCCGTGTCCTTTTGTGTGACACATCACAACCAGTTAAAAACCACTGCTTTAGACCTTCAATACAGTAGAATGCATTGATTGATGTTCACATACCGAATGAGGAAAGATAAACCCCATTTGGTCATGATTGTTAATTTTTAAATATTTTAAAATTTGCCAATATTTTGTTGAGGATTTTTGCATCTATCTATGTAGAATGTAGGTCTATCGTTTTCTTCTTTTTTGTACTGTTTTTGTGTATTTTTGGATTTAGGGAATTGCTGGTCTCATTTAATATAAATTGGAAGTGTTCCTTTACTTTTCTATTTTCTGGAAGAGATTGTGTAGAAAGAGCTGCATTACTATTCAGATATTTGGTAACATTTGCCAGTGAAACCATTTGGGCCTAGAAAATTCTTTTTTGAAAGATTTTAAACTACAAATCCAATATCTTTAATAGTTATAAAAATATTCGTTATTATCAACTTGTATGAATTGTGGTAATTTTTTTTAAGGGAATTGTTCCATTTCACCTTTGTTAAATTTGCATGTCAAGTGCTATCTGCAGCATTTTCTTTATTATCCTTTTGATGCCTGCAAGTTCTATAGCAATATCTCATCTTAATATAATGTATTTTTAAATGTAAAGTATTTTTATGTGTAGTTGAAATGGACATGAAGTAGGAGATGATGACTGGTGGCAGAATAATAAAGTATATGTGATTTTCAAAATTCCTTAATCATATTATACTATTTTTTCCCAAAAGACTGAAGATGGGGAGAGACAAGTAATATGGCTTACTCAAACTTTTGCTACTTGCTTAGGCAAATATCTATATTTCAGGACCAGGAGAGATGGGACACGATAACCTTGGTGACTAAAACTATGAGTTTAAAAAGTAGCAATAGCATAAACGTCAGACACTTTTGCCAGCATCTATGCACAAAATCACTCACATCAACATTAAAACAAAAAGTATTACTAACTAAAACATACCTTAAAAGAATGAAGGAAAGCACTTCGTAGTCAAACACTACATATTAATTATAATTCCATCTATCTAAAGCATTTTGTTAAATCTAAGGAACAAACCATATTTACTTTATTCTTTAACAAATAAAAATCACATATAATTATTGACAGCTTTTATTACAGCTATCAAATTTCACTTTGTATAGAAGTGAAACATCTGCATAAGAACCTGAACACATTCTATACCATATTAATCACCAAAACAGATTAAAGATTAAAAACACCAAAACAGAATTGAAGATTAAAGAATAAAGCTCAAAACCTATTAAAAGGAATAATGTCCTTTCATAATAACAAAGGTAAAACATAAAAAGCCCAGAAGTGAACTGAACAAGAAATGTGTAGGACCCAGATAAAAAAACAAAACTAAAACAAAACAAAAAGCCTAATCAACTTGAATAAATGGCATGATATATCAACCACACTTTCCCCCTACAAATTACCCTATAACATGTTTATTTAATAAATAAAGCATTTACTCTTCCTCATGAATATTCAAATCCTCTTTCAAATCCTAAAACATTGTAGTTTTGATCAGAATTATATTAATTTGGGAAGAAATAATTCTAATTAAAAAAAAAGAGTATAAGTGATTTTTCAAAAGGGTTATAATACTATTTTAGTGAAGAATAATTGAGGATAGCCAAGATATTTTAAAAAATAATGAGGGGTTAATTGATAAACTAGGTAATAAATTTTGTTATAAAGTTACAATTACAGTATAAGAACAGAAAAGACAGTCTAGAAAGAAATCTAAGTATATAAAAGGATTTTTAGTACGTTTTAACTATTTGGAGGAACACAGAAACTTACTTTAGAAACTACAGGTTAACATAATTTAATACTAGAAAGACTGAAATTTAGTATATACCTATATTGCCCAAAAGCCGTCAAAATGACTGCATTGTGAAATAACTAATGTGTAAAGAAATTTGTTTAAAATTAATTTTTAATATTTTTTATATTATTTACAGTTATATAACAAGTTATTTGACATTTCTTTCATGACATTTCTTCCACAGCCTGTATATGGCTCGACAAGTTTCAGAACAACATGTTCACTGAGAAGCATTGATGATGGTTGTTGTTCATCTTTCCCCAAATAAGGAAAACCATTCAAAACATATTTGCTACTAACATCTGATGCAAGCCAGAATTTGATGCCAAATTTGTTGGGTTTATTAGGCATATACTGTGTAAACCTGCACCTGGCTTTTGACGGAAATAATTGCTCGTCAACTGTTATATTTTGCCCTGGTTGATAGCAAGCTTGACTATTTTCAATGAACTTGTCCCATATTTCCGAAACCAAGGCAAACTTATTTGTTTGTAGGTGCCTACTTCTTTTGGTTCTTTTATCAAAACGAATAAATCGTAGGATTTGCTTGAACTTTGCTCTGGCCATAGTTTTTCTAAAAAATTCGGGACCCTACTTTGCTGACGATAAATAACTGAGTTTTAAATTTTTTGCCTCGTAGGCTCCACGAGCATATAAAATCCCAATAAATGCATGTATTTCCGGTAATGTTGTTGTCCAATCGTTCCTCAAAATTCGGCGGCCTTCTTCTTCTGTGCACTTTTTAAAAAATCACCCCCCCACTCCAACAGTCAAAATGACTGCTTTCGGGCAATATAGGTACAACACATATATATATATACCGGAAATGAAGGAGGGGGAGGTAACTACAATTATTAATAAACGCATTTATATGTTGTATAAAAAGTCACAAAATTCTAAGAAATTCTGTCATTATATACATCGTTTTTCTAATTGAAATTAAAAAGCAGTCAAAATGACTTCCTTGGGCAATCTAGTGTTAAAGATTAAAAAGGAAATCATTCTTAAAAGCTGATAATTTTTACAAATAAAATTTGTATAACAAAAAATGTTAAAAGGAAATTTAGGAATAGATATTTGCAAGAGATGTCAAAACTATACAATGACAGAAATATAATAAAAATCTCAATGAATATATTAGGAGCTCTTACAGATCAATACAAAAAATACCATAGAAAAATAGGCAAAAATGTTAACTGAAAAAAGAATATGCAAATACCAATTATTACATGAAAACAAAAAAGATCAACATTCAATAACCAAAGAAATGTAAAATTTAAAAACATGATACTATTTTCACTTATCAAATTGTTGGTTTTGTGTGTTTTTATGACAATGCCGAAGGATGTGGAGAAATCAAGGAAAAGTATTCTCATTCTGCATTGGCATTCTGAAGGGATAAATTGCTTTAAATTAAACTTAAGAAAATGTGGATTTGATGGAAGAATCACCTGAATGTTAATCTGTATTATTAACTGCAGGTAAAGAGAATAACAGATAATTAATATAATGAACAGCCCTAAGTTTGAATTCATATTAAGAAGCCACTGAAGAGCTTCTATGGCCACCTATGGAAGCAAGTTGAAAGAAATGAACCTTCACAAAGTTTGCCCTATGTCTCATTTGGCTTGTCCCGATTTGTATCACTTATAAGTTCTAAGAATGTGCTTTCCTGAGTTCTTTGAGTCATTGTAGTGAATTACTGAACCAAAAAAAGCTATGGGAACCCCCAAATTGGTAGCAAGTTGGTTAGAAGAGCAGATGGTCTGAGAACCCCCCACCAAATGAGGGAGTAGTGCCCGAGATGAGGACAGTCTTGTTTGAGACTCACTGCTGTGCCTTTAAATTGTGGGGTCTGTAATTGTGAATAATTAGTGTCAGAACTGAATTATACTATATCAATATCCCATTACTAATATATCTAGAAAAGACTCAAAGGATATAACTGTTAATAGTGATCTTCCTTTCTAATTGTTAGGACAATTCGTGATTTTCATATACTTTTCAACACAGTTAACGTGAACATAAAATATTTAAACCACTTGTTTTCAAAATTAAACAAGGATAACTTCACTGAGAAACTCACCTTTTTGAGCTTTAGCTGTTATTTCAAAATATTTGACAGTAAGATCTTGAATTGAGAGCACAGCCATGTGAGCTTTCCGCTGCCAATCAGCATCTTCTTTTTGTAAACTTTCAATTCTTCGGGGACCCAGATAATCATTCTCCATGGAAATCTTTAGAGAGAGAAAAAGAAAAATTAAATTCTGCCCAGCCGGTGTTCCCAGTGGTTAGATGTCGCTCCATTAACCAAGAGGTCACTGGTTCGATTCTAGGTCAGGATACATGCCCCGGTTGTGGGCTCAATCCCCAGTAAGAGGCATGCAGGAGGCAGCCAATAGATGATTCTCTCATCACTGAAGTCTCTATCTCTCTAACCCTCTCCCTTCCCCTCTCTAAAATCAATAAAATAAAACATTTTTTAAAAGTTCTTTTCTTTCTTTTATTCATTTCTTAAGCATTTACTGAATGCTTACATCAGGCACTGTGCTTGATTCTAAAACAAATAATACTTGTTTTTCCCTGCTTTAGAGTGCTAGCTATTAATTCATAACACAAGTAAATTAACACTGTTGAAGATCCTGACATAAAACTTGTTCTCCCTTCATCCTTCTCTATCTTCTTTTTCATCCTTTCTTCCTCCATATATAAACAAAAGGCATTTAGCACACTGTTGTAACTGGTTATTTTGGGGTGCTGAGATCATGAGAAATTTATTTCCTCCTTTGTGATAATTATATTTTCAGTGAGGTTAAGAGTTATTTGTGCCAATAAAATACTTATTTAATAAATGATAAGTAAAATAAAAACTCAATATTTTAAGACTGATAATACATAAAAACCTACCCATCTACCTAATGAAGGGCTCTGGAAAAAAATAAAAATTTAGCTTTGTATTATTTAGGAGAGTCATGACTGAAACAAAAACACTAAGGAAAGTTGAAAACCAAATGATGGATACGGATATACCAGGTGAATGCTAAAATAAACTGAAGTGACAATATTAATATTAAGGTATATAAAATCATCACATAGGTAAGTTTAACATGGAAGAAGGGTGCAATCCAGCAAGAATATCAATGAACTCTTTATACACATTCCATCCTACTTTATCATATCTTGAGAAAAGACTGTTAAAAATGAAATGAGAAGTTAAAACCATGAGGAACGTGAAAATAAAATATACAGAAAAATGTTGATACACTCCTGGGATACTTTTAAAAAAGTTATCAAGTGTTACAAGCCTTGATATAAAAACTGATAATAAGTTTCAAAAGTAGAAACTGTACAGGCCATATTCTCTAAATTGTGCAATAAATAGAAATTGAAAGTCTAAAACCAAAATAAAATTTTAATCACCTGGAAATTTAACACCCAATGGAAGGTAACATTTACTGTTAGCTATAATACACTTGTTCCTTAAGCAAATGAGGAGTCTTCCGGATAGAGGAATAGTGTGCCCAGCACACAGTGAACAATTTATTAGCAGTGTTAAGAAGGACAATGCCAGAGAAGTGGGAGGGGTCAAGAATAATCCAAGATTACTGGGGGGAAATATGTATGTGCAATTGGCATTTCCTTAAAAAGTAAACAGTGAAGGGAGGAATAGCTTATTTTAAAAGGAAGAAGACAGAAGATTTCATTTTGCGTATTTTAGATTTGGGTTTGCAAAAGGTCATGGCCAGAAATATAAATCTGGGTCACCTTGACACACAGAAGACATTTAAAGCCATGAGAATAAATGAGGCTACCTAAGGAAGTCACAAGGGAAAGGCTCATGACTGAGCCCTAAGTTCATTCCGGCACTCAGGTTGGGTGAAAAAGTGCATACAGAAACCAAGCCAGAGGTAGGGGGTACAACCGTAAAAGTGTGGAATTACATAAGGAGCAAGATTCAAAGGAGGAGAAATTGATGCTGTCACACACTATTTAGGGATCAAGTAGGATGATAACTAGTATCCAGACTTAATAGCATCAAGATCACTGACCTTAGCCAACAACAGGTCTGGGAAATAAGCAAACTCCCTTTGCCCATTAACTCACATCACATCATCAGATCTCAGCTGAAGTACTGGTTCACTTCCAAACATGGTTTTAATACGGAGAGTAATGTGGACATGTAACAATAAATATTCTTTTGAAAGATATGTGAATTGAGGAAAAAATGGTGGGGCTAAAACACAATAAGGCTTAAGGTGAGGCCCTTTGCTTTTTGTTTTATTTTAATGAAGATCACGGAGCGGTTTGAGCAGTGAAAAGATGTATCAAGCAGAACCTATAGATGCAGGAAAGAGATGGGGCTAACAAGAGTGGGAAGGTCCTTGAAAGATAAGAAGGGACAGGATCAGAGTACTGGTGTAGGGATTTGCTTTGGCAAAAAGAAGAAGAATTCTTTCACGGCACAAAGAAAGGTAGGTTTGGGGCTTGGTAAAGAAAGGATGAAGGGAACTCCTGTTCCATGATCTCTGTTTTCCCTTGTGAAGAAAGAGCCCAGATAAGAGTAAGTTGATGCAGGGAAGGGGAGAAGATAAGACACAAATAGCTGCTTTTAGATGGCAGGATGATAACCACTTAGAAAGATTCATTAAGTAAAGATTAAAAATGAGACTAAACAGGCCCTAGCTGGTTTGGTTCAATGGCTAGAGCATTGGCCTATGGACTGAAGCATCCTGGGTTTGATTCCAGTCAAGGGCACATGCCTGGGTTGCACACTTGATCCCTAGAAGGCGGCCAATCAATGATTCTCATCATTGATGTTTCTATCTCTCTCTCTCCCCCTCCCTTCCTCTCTGAAATCAATAAAAATAGATTTTTTTAAAAATGATGAGACTAAACAGGCGGTAATGGTGAAAAAGACACACACTTATATACTGCTACTGGAACTATACAATGATTAAAACATTTTTTGGAAAGTATTTTATGATACCACACTATTTGAAGGTATTTAAGACAATATCTTCCAAGAATAATAACCAGAGTGTTCACTGAAATATTGTGCAGAGATGTAATTTCAATTACATAAAAGAATACCCAGGAAAAAAAAAGACAAAATATGTAAAGTATATTATTATTAGTGTCATCTTTTGGTAGTAAATTATTGGTAATATTTTTCTTCCTGTTTAAAATCTGAACTTCCCAAATCTTCTTTATTATACATATATTTTTAAGCATGAACAAGAAAAAATGCTTTTATCTTTTCTTGGGGTCACAAATCATACCAACTAGACAGGCTGAAGACACACTATCCCAGAGGTTTCCTGTTTCTAGTCAAGCAAACAATGAGCTCATGTTTTCATATATAAGGCCCAAAAATTATGAGACTTACCTCTTTTTTCCAGTGTGTGGGGGAGAGGAAGTGGAGATATGGATCAGAACATAAATGCCTTCCTTATTAATTTGGAAACAGAATTATGTAAACTCCATTTCTGAGACTATAAAAATAGTACCAAGCAAAAACAATTAAGCCAGTAGCAGCAGCTTGGATTCGTGATATCCAATTCCATACTCATCTAGACTAGATTTTTTTTAAAATTCTCAAATGATTACTGTATCTCCAATATCAAACTGCAGGAGTCAAACTTAAATGATGCTACTACTGGATATGGTTGATTTTTTTTTCCTTTTAGATTTTACCATGGCTAATATTTGGAAATCATCTCAATTACATAATTTGAATGCAGAGACTACTGTATCAGTAGGTGCTTTAAAGGAAATATATGAGTAACATGTATTTTCTCCTCCCAAGAAACTTACAATCTAATTGAGGGTAGGAAGAGAGCTATCTGTGATGAAGAAATCTGGTTTGAAATGAGACTAGCTCTGCTGTGAGACCTTTAACAAAGGTCTTAATTATTCAATTATTCACTCAAAACAATCATGTATAATATTTGCTCAGTGCCAGTATTGTAGGTACCAGAGATCACAAGCTATTCAGCCTAATGGAGGACATAAATACCCAAATAAAGAGTAACAATCTTATCTAATAAAAGAGAAACATGGTAATTAGCCATACCTCCGCTACACCCACCAGCCACGCCCCCCAGCCAATCAAGAGCAAGTAGAAAATAAACCACACCAAGATGGCA